CTATTTGAAAAATATTTCAAAAAACCTTATTTAGGGGTTTGGAGTTGAAGAAAAGAGGAGAGGAGAGAAGAAAACTAGTTTGGGAGAAGTTCGGCATGAATCTGGTTGGACCGAAACTGAGCAGTCTTCACTAAAAGAGGGATATCTCTTAGCATACTTGGAAATTTGATACGAGGCTTCAACCATTGGAAATATTACTTCTGGGGATTCAATTTAGGCTCAGGAATGACCTGCAAAGGAGTCCACATGAAGGAGACATGCCCGGTTGAAGTCCGAGCCCAAAAAGCTGATTTTTCTGGCCAACCAGAGGTGGAGGATGCTGGCCATAAATGGGATTTTCTTGCCATGTATCGGCCATGAATGGCCATTGCTGGCCCCCTTCTGTCCAAGAGTGACCCTTTCCGGCCATAGATGATGAAGTACCGGCCATCAATGATGGCTTGCCAGCCATTGATGCAGAAAGTCAGTTTTTGGCAGATATTTTTGTTCCAGCTATTCCAGCTATCCCTTTTGGGATATTTTTCGATCAAGGCTTGCATTATTCTATATATAGAGCACCTTCTCTATGGTTTTGAGGGTTAGAACAATTGAGGAAGAAGTTTGGGAGCCTCTCCCTCTATAATCCTCTCTCTAGATTTCTCTCTCCCTAAAAGTGTCTGTGCCTAGAAGCTTGCATACATCCATCTTCAACCTATCCACCCTTAACAAGAGTGGTTCATCTTTGGGCTGAGGTTGCTTGAAGCTCTCTTGGAGCCTTCTTGGAGCTCTTGAAGGTGGTTTTGACTTGGTTTTGTGCCTCAAAGTGTGCTTGGCTTCAAGAGGTATAACTCTCTCCCTTTAAGCTTGTTTTAAACACTTGTTCTGCCATCTTTGCATACTATTTTTGGGCTGGTTTTCAACTGTAAAAAAATAAGTTTTTCAGTCCTAAAAATGGTAGTTTAAGCCTATTTTGTGTTAGGGGGTTGTCTCTCCCTTTTGTTCTTTAGCTTGTGTAGCTTTTTGCACCATTTCTCATCACCATTCGAACCAACTTTTTTGGCTTTTTAAATACAGAATTCTAGGGAAATTTCAGTGGTGAAAACCATGCTTTGAAGTCCGAAATAGAAGGGGCTGGCCACCCCTCCTTGTGTCTTCTTTGCAAGTGTTGATGGCCTAACATGTGAGCATGTATTTCTACCTTTTTGTAGCTTGGTTCAAGCATGTTTTAGGGTCTATTTTGACATGCTTCAACTCTATTTTTGGCTAGTTAAGTCACTTGTTGCTTGCTTCTTGCACTTCTAGAGTAATTATGCTTACTAGCCTCGCATGCCTAATGAGTTAGCCTATCATTCTAACTTGTGTTAGCTTGATTCCAGCACATTTTAGCTACTATTTTGACATATTTTAAACCCGTTTTGGGTCAGTTAAGTCTTTCGAGGCTTGTTTTGTATAGCTATAGTGCGAATGCCTTCACTAGCTTAGTGTTTTAAGGCCTTTAACATGTTGTGCATGTGTTGCTTGCATGTTGTAGCATCATTTAGCATGTAATTTTAATGCATATAGCTCTGTCACACTCTCACATATTTCACTCTTTTATGGCTTTTGAGAGTTGTGCCTTGAGCCTTGTTTATGAGACAACATGTGAGCTTGTTTTTCTTGACCTTTTGCACTACCATCTCAGCATGTTTTGGCCTCTGTTTTGGCCTCTATTTTGGCATGTTCCAGCTCTGTCCATAGCTGGTTTTGTCATTCAAGTTTGATATTGCATGCCTCTAGTCTAGTGCTCTTCACTAGCTTTAATGCTTAAGTCTCTCAACATGTTGTACATGAGTTGTTTGCATGTTATAGTCTTGTGTTTCATGCCACTTGCACTGAAATTCTGCAACCTCCCTCATTTCTTCACTTTTTAATTGGCTTTGAGGGTTGATTGGTCTTAAGGTTGTGTTTAAGCTTGAGATTGAGGCTTGTGGTCAATGGCTTTAACTCTCTTTTGAGGGTTTCTACTAGCCAAAGGCATGACCTCTCTCATGTCTTAAACCATCTTTTGGTTGACCCCTCTCTCATTAGAGGACAATCACTTGGACTTAACCACTTAAAGAATGATTTGGTAACTTAAAATGAGTAAACAAGAATTGGACAAGTAAAACATGGCCAAGATAAGCATGTTATGTGTGCATTGCATTGTGTTCAATCAGACGTTATATTGAACAAAAGGTGGATTGGTACATTTCATACTCAAAGTGATGAAAATGAGCCAATCTTCCTTTGTCTCCATTGCCCTTGATCATGAATGATAGGGTGGTGGTCCTAGAGTCTTGTTTTGTGCATTTATTGTATGTGTACAAGTTGGATCTTTGGTTATCATGCATTCAAAATGCTTGATTGGTGGTCTTGGATTCAATAATGCAACTCCTTTGATGTTTTGAGATGATAAAGAGGGTGCAGTACAAACATACCCTTGGAAGACCCTTTATTTTCCTCTATTTGAGCTCTATTGCAGAATGGTGATGCAGCGCACCAGTGGCCGGCAGTGTCTTATCAATGGCAGGAAAAGCTTCATCCTTGGCCGACAGTGCCTCTGTTTGGCCGGCAGGTGGTCGGCAACAGCCCCTGATGGCCGGCAGGCCACTAGTGCAATCCTCAACATGGAATTGGTAAGGCATGGCAGAAAGTTCTTGGAGTAACCCTGTAAACAGAGCCTCTCAAGAGTAAACTGGTGGGCTTTTCGGGGCGAGAAACCGAATGCATGCATGTTCGAATTTCTGATGCAGAGCTGAAGTAGTGTAATTTAATGCTTTACTTGTTAGTTACATTGGTTTTGTAATTTAATTAATTAGTGTGCTAATTAGTTAAGTTTTGTAATAATTAAGTAGCTTAGCTTTCCTATTTCTCTATTGTTGTAATTAATTAGCTTCGAGTAGTTAATTAGTTGTTGTGTAATAATTAGTCTAATTAGTTTAATTAGATTAGTTAGCTTAGCTTAGCTTAGCTTAGTGTAGCTTAGCTTATTTATTCGGACCCTCCTTCGCGAGGGCGTATTGTTGTAATCAGCGTGAGTGTGTGTGTGTGTGTGTGTGTGTGTGTGTGTGCATGTCTTCCAACCCCACTTCTTTCTCCCTTTTACTTAACCGCTTTTGATGGTTAGTTTAGGGCACATTTTGATTAGCATACCTTATGCTTTGCATGTTTGCATCATTCATTTGTCTTGCATACACCGGGGCTCGGCACATAATTCAAATTGCATCGTATTTCAATACTTATTTGAGTATGTGTATCAAATTGTTGCATTCATATGCCATCTTAGGTAGTCGAGCCTATTTAGTTGCATTATTGCATGTGTTGTATTAGGCATCTAGCATAGTTAGGATCATGCATATTTCAACCTAGTTTTTGTTTTGGCTTAGAGTACACTATAAGTTTTACGCTTTAGCATACTTGCATGAGTGTGAGTGTTGCCATGTTTCGCATGCTTGCCATGAGACTATTTTCTTAAATGCTAAATTGCATGAATGCCTGTGGATGAAGGCTTTGTTGCTTGAATTGGACAATTCAATGATTGTAAGTTTGAAGCCCACTTTGCGAAGTGGCAAAATCATGTTTTAAGCCCACTTGAGGTGCCAAGTTTGCGCTTTAGCCTACTTGCGAGTAGCAGTTTCAAACTATTTTCAAAAACAAACATGAGTTATTTTGTTTCAATTCACGTGATTGAGTCTATACTTGTATGTGTGCGCCACATAGTAACGGTAGATTAATAACCGGATAAGTACACATGAGGTTTATAAAACAACATATCATGTTTAGTAGAGGCCGATCCTTTGATCGGGCAAGCAGGGGTGCTCATTTTAGTATGTTCCCCTCTTGTACCCAAGTTCTTGAGCCGAGGCAACTTTGCTGATGATGGACACGTGGCCTTTGGCACGAGTCAAGGTTTCCTAAATTTCTCAAAACAAAATATTTAGGTGGCGACTCTGTAATCTGGCAAAGCAGTCGATGTTTGGCGCTTTTTGATTCAAAATTGATTTTCCAAAATGATTTGTTGAACGGTTTGTGAGAGGCTTGCTTGGAAAAGCGTGTCATAAGGTTGACCGGTTGCGGGCTCTTCCACGATGGGAACACAAACCTTGGATCTGGACTACCGCTGTACCGTTTGGTCCTCATTTCATTCTCGGTGTTAGGTGCGAGAGGTATTTTAAGTGGTCTTGCTGAGGCTCCCTTTTCAACCAATTAACCTAGTTAAATATCGGAAGCCTTAGAGACTGGTCCAAACTAGGACATGTTGCTCACCCGAATGGAGGATTGTTTGAAACCGCATGCGTGAGTAGTGAACCCCTAGCTCCTGACGAAAATAAGACAGGGAAACCCTACCCCACCATAGGGGTGTTTTGGCTCTCACTTGCTTGATATATGCTATCAAGGTGTGTCTCTAAAGGGATGCATGTATCAGTTGCGAGTCTGGATATCCGTCTGAGGACATCAATGTTTGAGGGTATCAGTTTTGTGGTAGAAAATTTGGGGCAGAATTCAGTAAAGAGTACAGTCATTCAGCTATGCTCCGATTTGTTCTGGCGAAATTGGGCTGAGATGCTGTCTGTTTTCTCTTTTGCAAGATAGTCTTGGAACTATAACTTCAGAAGACTCTAACATCCCCTGGGTACATTAGACTTGTGTTGATAGACTTTGACAGGTCAGAGATTTAGTTTAAGGGCAACCAGTGTTTCCTTCGCTAGAGGCAACGCAAAAAAGGCCAGTCAAGGCTCACCGATTTAACTGATCCGACAGTCACCAATCACATCACCTTTGTTCAAACTCAGCAGATTGTGATGGCATAGGGTTTGGAAGAAGTTGTGGCCATGATAGCGGCATTAAACCAGGGAATCGCCATGCAGGGTGAGACCAATGCGAAAATGCAACACCCATCTGGGGCACCTACCACACATCCAGTCTCGGTACCCCAATCATCTCACACCCATGAACCCACTACTTCTAAGCTAGGGAGCATGATTGAAAATTTGTAAAGAACTATGGCAGATTTAGCCTTTGGAATTTTGGCTCCATCATCGACAACATCATGGGCCAGAAATTTCAATCCAAATGGCTCCTCAATCTTGGGGCGAGTTGCAATTAAAAAGGGCCAACCTGAAGCCACCTCAAATCTGGGTGGTGGCATGTCGACAACAACTGGGCTCCCCTTTGATATGGAAACCCAATCCTTTGGCAAATTGGAAGCAAATGACAAGAACAAGGTAGGGGCAGGCATTGGTCCCCATGAACACCTTCAGTGGGCTGTTGAGGCTTTGAAAGCCGAAGGGCTGAACAAACAGCAAGTTCTCGCAATTGTTGCAAAAACTATGGATGACACTTTTGTCGCTCAGAATGAGAGTAGTCTGAATCAAGGGGAAAGTCGGGAAAAGGGCTGTTGTACCAGAAACATTCCTTTAAGCTCTCACAGTTGTTGCAAAAACTATGGATGACACTTTTGTCGCTCAGAATGAGAGTAGTCTGAATCAAGGGGAAAGTCGGGAAAAGGGCTGTTGTACCAGAAACATTCCTTTAAGCTCTAATCCTACACTCGGAAGAGATCATCAAACCCAGTCAGCACCTGTCAATCCCTTTGCTGGTACATCTAATAGAACTCCACAAACCTCGAAGTATCCACCTCGAGGCTAGAGGGTCTTCAATCCCCTCTACATGGCTTTGTCCAAAGCTCTCCAAATCCTTATAGGACAAGGCCATCTTAAACCCCTTGAGCCTTGGCCTCTCCCGAATCCCCTTTTCGACTAAGCATGATGCTGCCAAGTATTGTGCCTTCCATCAACCATGACATTAACATGTGTTTTCATCTTCGCTATGAAATACAAGATCTGATTGATAACAAGGTCATCGTCGCACCAAGTCTTGTAGAGTCTATCGGTACTGGATTGATGAACTTGGGGGATAATGTGATTATGTGATCGGGGGGGATGAACTACCTGCAGATGGCGCTCAGTTTACTGCAGATGTGGTGGATGACACGCACTGTTTTGAGCAATGTGCAAATGTTGGTTATTTTACTTTCTAACTTGGGTATTGGGTCAGTCTTATTGTGTTGTATTAAGTCAGTTTTTTTGTACTGAGTCAATTGAGTCTGTCTTGTTGTATCAAGTAAATCCTGTTGTGTTAGAGTCAGGTGATTTCGGATGTGTTACCTCAGACATCACTATCTTGTTTTGTGTTTATCATTTACAGTCTTTCTTTCTTTTAAGTCTGTTTCTACCCTGAAGCCAGTTGTGGCAGAAGATTTAAATGAAACGGCAGTGTTTTTCACCTACTGTTCTGTGCCTTGAAATCATTATATTGACCTAAGTTTTTCAAAACTTTTCGAACAGTGTGATGAAAACGAAGAGGAGGGAATTCCTCTGGGTTTGCAAAATTGGATCAAATTGAGAGAAAGAGAGACATGCTAAGCCCTTAATGAATGAGATCATGTTTGTCAATATGAGTACTGAAAAGGATCCTGGTTAGTCCAAATTGGTTCGACATTGTCTTCAGCGCGAGCGACTAGTCGCTTTCTTAAGAGATTTAAAAAAATGTTTTGCGCAGTCCTGCGAAGACATATATGGAATCGCTCTCGAGATTGTGCAGCATAGGATCACTCTCGGCCTCGAGACTCAACCCCTTTTGCTTTAAAACCTTGAACTTTGATTTAGAATGTTCAACGGTCAACCACAATGTGAGGCTTGTATGGCCAGATTTGAAGCAGCCCATAAACTAGGGGCAATAAGGTCGTATGACATCAAAGGAGGCTCGCCAGGTCAGATTTGAAGCAACCCTTGAACTAGGGGTAAGAAAGTCAAATCAAGAAGATCAGATGTTATCAAAGGAAGCTTGCAAAGCTAGATCAGAAGCATCCCTTGAACAAGGGGCAAAAATGTCAGATGCGCTTGAAGAGTCAAAGATGAGTCATTTTTCAAGCTAATGAAAGACAGGCAAGAAAGCCAAATATGAGCAGTTGAAAGAAGAAAGTTTATTGCTGAAGGACAATCAAGTTCCTATCCGCAACACTAGGGGCAAATTCAGACCCGATTGAATGGGCTCCTATATCATCAGCGAACAACAGCCATTCTACTAGATTCAGATGGCTTCGAGATCTCAAAACCGATCAACATGGACCAGCTAAAAATTTCTACCCTTGAGAGGCTCGCTGGGCCGAAAACCCGGAAGGGCGACCCATGCAAAAGTTAGAGCAAGAAAAAGAAAAAAGAAAAGAACAAAAATGAAAAAATGAAAAAAAACAAAGAAAGAAAAAGAAAGAAAAAAAGAAAAAGAAGAGATGAAAAGAAATGAAAAAAAAAAAAAAACAAAGCTCGCAAAAAAAAAAACAGAGCTCGCAAGGTTGAAAACCCAGAAGGGCAGCCTTGGAAAAAGTTAGAGTGCAAAAGGAGAGCGTCAACACCCGAGTGAACCTCAACCCAGAACTGCGTATGGCCTGATTCCCATGTTTGGGATACGTAGGCAACTTCATCCTGAAGTCCGGCCCCAATCATTTTTTTGGCCTGCTTGGCTCATCCATGTTGATTGGTTTACCCTTGTTCAACTCGGCTATCTTGTCCATGTGCAAATTGGCTCTTCTTCATTCAAATTCAGTTGTTCTATTCCGCTGGAAGATTCAACTGTAAGACAATTCAAGTTCAGATCTGAGGTTGTGCATCTCAAAAGTAAATTCTATGTTGGTCAAGCTGTGGCCATTTGCAAAAATAATTTTTGAGGATTTTTAATGAGGTTGACTAATTCTCTCGAAAATTATTCCATTTTTCCAAAACTAGACCATTTCTTGGACCCAAAAAAGAAATATTTTTAGTGCTCAACCTGACTTGCATGATTTCAAATCAAAAAATCGAACAAGTGTGTTCATCTAACTCTTATACTGGTCAAAATTGTTTTAATAGAAAGCCAAAACAAAAAATGGTCAAAATAATGAACTAGGGTCACAGTGGAGTCAGGTTTTATGTCTTTCCCCCGTTGTCAACATACTTGCTAGAATGGGCACCACACTTGCCAAAAAGGGCACCATGCTTACCAGAAAGGGCACAACTGAAGCTAACAACAAAGGGCTGAAAGCTCTCTCATCCTCCAAGCAGCGAGGTATCAAACTAAGTGCGAAGCACAAATTGAAAATGGAGCGGGATGTTCGATTCCCTTATCTGGATGATCACACCCAAATTGGCATTTGGCCCAGAACGGGAGCGTAGAAAATGCAATGTGTGAGACCAATCAATTGTATACCTAGCTGGTGGGACATGCTGTAACTCACCTCAATCAAGCTAAGCTAGGGGCATCGCCAACCGATGTAAGTTACAAATTTGCTCCAATCGCACCGCAACCCCTCTGTGGGAGAGCTTACTAGTTACAAGCGAATGAAAGAGAATCTAATAGAATACTAGGGGCAAGAGCCCATAACTTCCTGCTTATCCATCAACCACCCAAGGAAGGGATAAAAAATAAGAGAGATTAAAGAATAGAGAGATGTATGTTGAGAGAAAAGTGAGGAAAGGACTTTTTTAGAGAAAAAGAGATTGAGTACCAGAGTGATGTGAGAATCACAAATAAAAAAAGGTGGGAGACAATACTCGAAGAAACTGGCTCCTCGTGAACTGAGAGGTCTCTCGCCATTGGAACACATCTAAGTGTTTTGTGTGTGTTTTTGTTTGTCTTGATTCTTGTTTTGAGTCGTTTTGAGTGTCAATAGATGTGTTTAGGTTGTTTACCTTTTGTTTTCCTTTGTTGAGTCGTGGCGTGCCGTGGTCAGTTGTAGGCTCAATACCCGATTTAGAACTCATGTCTCAATTTGAAAAATAAATCGTTTTGTGCTCAGAGCGCTGTGCCATTCTCTACATTTTGTACAAAACAGATTTCTTTCCCTCATAAACTACAGGGTTCAACCCAGGTTATGTAAGCACAATAAAACCAGGACCTATCTGAAGCTACATAGGTTCTGGACTACGAAGCAAAAGAAAAGAGGGAAAATTTGGAGCATCTTAGTGTTTTCAACTTCAGCAAGTTCCAAGATTGCATTCTAGGTGCACCTTCTCAGGCCTCGCCTTTCTCTGGAGTATGGGTGTATCTCAACCCCAAGCTTAAGCTTGTTTCAAGTCAGACTGGCAGTCCAAGCAGCACCCGTGGTTTTCACGTGCATATGTTACCCCTCGCCAATATGAATGGGATGTATCTTTTTAAGTTGAACATGTTGCAATGTCCTCTGAGAGGTAAATTGGAGGCATCAAAGTACATATTTGATGCCGTTCTATTGCATAGAATGTGCATTTTCATATACACTTCTGTCGCATGCGTGCCTCGCATCATTTATGATTCTTACATAGAATATGCTTTTGTCTCTTGTATATAATATGCTTGTTTCATGCATAGAACATACTTTCAATTAACATCGTGCATCTATTGCACAATGATCTCTCTCAATGCATTTATTTCACAATTTCGTATCACTCGCACTGTCTCGTGCACTTTGTGGTTGTGTGCCACTCGCACTTTCTTGTGCATCGTGCTTTCTTGTGCAACCTTTCTCCACTCGCGTGTGGCGCGTTTCGATGTACTCCTCACTTTCTTGTGCATCGCGCATTCATGCGCAACCTTTCTCCACTTACGTGTGGCGCGTTTGGATGTACTCGTACTTTCTTGTGTATCGCACTTTCTTGCGCAACCTTTCTCCACTTGTGTGTGGCCCGTTTGGATGTAATCACACATTCTTGTGCATCACGCTTTCTTGCACAACCTTTCTCCACTTGCGTGTGGTGCGTATGGACGCACTCGCTCTTTCTTGTGCAGTTTACACTCGCGCTTTCTTACGCATCGGACTATCTTGTGCATTTTATCACATGCTCTCATCTTGCATAGAAAATGCTCGTATCTTTTGCATAGAACTTGCTCGCGTTGTTTTGCGCACCTTACCTACGCTTGTTAGTGCATTGATCGCGCTATTTTCCGTACCTTACCTGCACTTGTTTGTGTATTGCTCGCACTTTTTTGCGCACCTTACCTGCACTTGTTAGTGCATTGCTCGCGCTGTTTTGCGCGCCTTACCTACACTTGTTAGTGCATTGCTTGCGCTGTTTTGCGCGCCTTACCTGCACTTGTTAGTGCATTGCATTGAGCTACTTTGTGCACCTTACTAGCACTATCTTGTGCACTTGTATAGTACTGTTTTGTGCATTCACTCTTGCATCACATTGTCATGTGCTCACCTGTATAG